CTAAAAAACAGAGCCAGCAATAAAATGCACCACCGGTTTTATTTTGAAATATACTGGATGCACCTCATTGTTCGACATCTCACTTCCTGTCTGGCTCATGTCATTTCTTTACAATCTGCATGCAGTATCCAGAAAAATAGACTCCATGCAGAAACTTTCTGGGGCTCCGCATCTGGATCTGCAACACAGCCGGAGCGAATGCTCTGATTGGACTGAACGATTTGTGCTCTATGTGGAAGCCGTACAATGTATGGACCACATTCGTTCAGCATTCTGTGTGAAGAAGTTTAAACCGTGAGCTGATAAATTTCTCTGTCAGCTGTTTTAAATAAATACTCAAAGGGCTTGCCTTTTAATTCCTGAATAAAGCAGCAAGATTTGGAATGAAGGGCATGTTTTTTTTACCACAGGACCATGTCAGAAAGATAGACTGTACAAGTCTGGGCCAAAGGACTCCACGTGCTTCTGTTAGACAAGCAAAGCCATGATATCCTGTTTACGGATGCTACCATGTTACTAGTCATGGTGTGTTTTTTAGGTATGATCTTAAACTAAAGGGATTTTAAAAAATTGAATATCCAAACCTACAGCCTCATTGGATGAACTATGTGACAAAACTGGGGAAAGTGTATTTTTCCACAAGGTTCTGGAGAATATTTACAGGATATTTTTTATTATTCCCATTCTCTCAGTCTCCGGTCTTCCCATTGGTGTCCTCTCTCAGGTTGAGGTCAGGACTCGGTGTAAACAAGTCAACCAAGCTCACTCATCGTGTCTTAAATGAAACACATGAAGATATTGATTTGGTGAGGTGTCCAACAAAGTGTCCTCCGGCTAGCGGACCACTTTTCCTGTTTCTTTATTTCCAGGAGAGTCACACTCTAAGTCAGTCACTGGTAGACTCCAAAAACAACCATGATTCAGTAGGTTAGTTTAACTTGGTTTGTGTTGAAGAAGCATAGAAAATGGTACAAATAACACACCTTGACCCCGTGAAGCCACACCCCCGTTGTCGTCAGTCAAACGGGTCCTGAATTTTCTCTCACATCTTCAACTTTAACTTTATTTGTAGAGCGCTTTCACGTGCCCAGAAGGGCAAACAAAGTGCTGTACACCAATATAAAAACATATTAAAATCAGAAATACATAAAACTGTCATAATACCACTAAATATCCCCAACATACCGTTTAAAAATTAAATAAAAGCAGTCCCACAAGCCCAGTGACCACTATCAGATGAAACAGACAATCAGAACACCTAATCCCGGCCTTAAGGTCCAAACGCCAGAAAAAACAGATGTTTTTAATCACCTCTTAAAGTTGGCAAGCAAGTGGGCTTCACGTCTGCCGGCAGCTCATTCCAGAGCTTTGGACCCAGCACTGAGAAAGCACGGGTGCCACGAGATTTCAGTCTGTACCTGGGCACTGTTAGTAGCCCATGGTCAGCTGACCTAGTGGGACATGATGGGGCGTGAGGGTGAATGACATCAGACAAGTATTGAAGTAACTCCCACCCCCCCAACCCTCATCACCTTAAACACAAATAAGATTACCTAATGCGATAAGAAACAGGAAGCCAATGAAAGGCACTTAGAACTAGTGTAATATGCTCAGACCTCCTGGTGCCAGTCAACAACAACAGCTGCAGAGTTGTGGACTGCCTGGAGGCGTGGTATGGAAACTTGCCTAAGCCCCACATAGAGCGAGTTACAGTAATCCAACCTGGAGGTAACAAAGTTATTGCCTTGAAGGTAATAATTGCACAAGTTTATTACCTAAGCTAGGCCTCACACAAGCTTGGATTTGGTTCCATGTATCAAAAACTACATTGTTAGGAAATGTGGAGGGTCTTTTTATTCCAGGTGGATCCTCTGAACCATTGGTCCACACAACTGTCAACCATTCTTGTGAACCATTCATGCAAGGCCGTCGTCATGCTTGTTGCTGGGTAGTTTTCACTTCCTGAACATGCTCATTCTGTTCATGTGTAGAGCGATAGCCTTCATTTCTCACTGTTCTCACCAAGTTCTTTTGAAAATCGTCAAGTCGCAAGAGAAAAGGTGTCTTTGAAGTCAGTGATAACAAGAGAAAAGCCTGCGAAGTGAGAAATAAGACCAGAGTTTTTTAGGAGACTCTTTTCAACGATGGCGTGCGCTGAAAGCGAAGGTTGGGCTCCCCACAGACACCTCTGTCTCCGGTTTTCTGCTCAACAGCTAAGCTAAAGTTCGGCATGCTATTTGGAGAAAGTCATTCCAGATTACTGCTAGAAGAAGCTGCTGCAAGGCTGGCATACTTGTAAATAGAGCGTGCACGAGAATAACTAGGCGTTCTCTTTCACGCGCATTTCTTTCAAAAAGTGGGGAGGGCAGTCCTTTCCTGAAATTCAGAAACGTCCTCCGCATTACCTTTAAGAAAACAAGACCGTGCATTCAAACGACCGATTGGCTATCTTAGCTTTCTTCTACACCCATCAGTTTCCTCACTGAAGCTGTGATGACACTATACTCCCTCCTTTTAAGCGTGTCACCTTGGTTACCAAGATGGCCGCTTTGATCATTTGTGAAAAGGATTGTGACTCAACACCACTTTTTCACACTGGTCTGTGTTGGGACAATGTTTAAAGGGGTGGATCACTCATCTAATCAATACATTTGCAGATGTCTCTAGAAGGAATGAATGCCTTTCCAGCAGAACTCAGGGCCCAAAAGAGGAGGAGTTGTGCCATGAAGTGAAGTTGCTTAAGCTTGGTTTATGCTTGACACGTCAGCGAGGTTCGCAGGGCTCAGCGCGGCAAAATTACGTCATTTTAACAACCACGCCCCTCCACCGTGCCTCGGCACGGCCCAAAATTTCTGCACCACGCACCTAGGAAATTTTGTAAGCACGCGGACGGTCGGACGTGGAAAAACATGGCTGACCGGCAAGAACTAGTATGGCAGAGGTTCGTAAATACAGACATTTGTATGATTCAGCTCTCAGAGATCACCGTGATCAACATGTTGTTAATAATTCTTGGAGAGAAATAGCTCGCACTGTCGGAAAAGACGAGGACGCTGTTAAAAAATGCTGGAATGCCATGTTGTAAACAACAGTAATTTCTACTTCTACTATGGTGTAGTGTTGGATGCATGCCGTAGAGCTCCATGCTGCCCCCTACAGTTTGGGAGAATATTGGCTCACCGCAGAGACGAGCCGCACGAACCGTAAACGCTGCTAGTTGTGAAGCGCGTTCCATCCGCGAGCCGCATCACCAAGCGGGAAGTAAATGCGTCAAGCATAAACCAAGCTTTAGTCTAATGAGTAGTTTAAACTAGCTGAATCCTGATGCTAAACATCAACCTTCCCCGTCCTGAGTCAAGATCGGTGAGTCCATGATTGTGAAGAATTCATAGCGTGACGTAGATATGTGAGGATTCACCATCTATTTTCTATCAGAGAAGCTAATGCACTTTAAATTATTAGACTTTACTTTCGATATTTCTTTAGTGGTTTTAGCTTTTAAGGTAATCAGTCCTTCGTGTGATTGTGTAGGAAGTCAATTATATATGAAAGCAGACTCAGATCTCTTCTGAACAAGTTAATAAAATGTCTATTTGCAGTTTGTTTCTCCTATGTGTGATGATCGAGGGTTCTCTTACATTCAAACTTAAGAGGGGTTGTTAATTATCCGTATCTCCTGCTAAGTGTGTCCGAAGAAATCCTCCAGCTGATTCCTGTTTTTTCTCCCTTTATTCTTTTATTGAGAGGACTGGGGGATTGGACGGGTAGTGCTGGAACACTGATTATATCTGCACCCCGCTGTGAGGAGCACGGATAGACGGGGCTGTGGGTGAGGTAATGACACGTGGATGGGGGATTTAGGGTGTCAGGGGAATGGAGGAAGATGATGGGGGGGGGGGGGGGGTAACAAGGGACAAGTGAGTAGAGCAGGAAGTGATGAGAGATTAGTGGTAAAGGATTAAGAAGATGTTTAGGGAATCGCTTAAGACGCTTCTAACTAAGGATTTGGCCCTTTGCAATCTGTGCAGCCAACAAACTCCTTTCTCCTGATGCTGTAACAACCTGTTAGCAGTTTGGATGTCAGTAAAGAGACCTTTCTGTTTCAGAAGCAGGATGTCGCACCATTTTATGGAGGCATACTTGTTTTCCTGTTTGCAAGTGTTTCTCACATCTGTTTCATGTCAGCGCATTAGCAATGAATATATAATTGCTTCCCAAGAAGTTTCTGTGAGATCTTTGTTAATCCAAGGGATTTGTCTGCAGTTGGTGCACAGACATACATGAAGTTTGTTTCTTTCGGGTTATCTGAGGAAGGATTATAAACATGGTCTCGCCTGTTGTGGATAGCTAGTTGAACAACCTCAGCTTGGAGAAATAGGTTACTTCTGGCCAGATAGACAACAGCAGGGCCGGTTGAAGGGTTGTTGTTGAATTAAACAACTTTAAGTGCTAAAATTATAGCAGTTCATGCAAACACTGTTTAGTTTGGTCTGCCCAGTTCATCACAGTCATTCTGGTCAATATTAAAATCATGATGATAACTTATCAAGCTGGGAAACAAGCTGACTTAACAATGGTGGCAAATGGGGTTAAGTACCTGTCTCATAATCAGAGGTTTGCAGGTTCACATCCTGTTTATTCTTTTGTAGTTGTTGTGTCCTTGGGCAAGGCACTTCGCCCTCCTTGCCTGTTTGCGGTGGTTGGAGGGACCGGTGGCGCCTGTGTACGACAGCCTCAGGGCAGCTGTCGCTACAGTGTAGCTCATCACCACCAGGGTGTGAATCTGTGAAGGATTGTTGTCTTATAAAGCAATGAACATGCAAGCCTTTCTAAACCGCCTGTCAGTAGAACATTATCCTTTCCACCCATTTGTCAGGAAAATAATCCTCATTATTGACTTTAAATCTCTGAAACGATGCACAAAGGTGAGAAAGAGAGACACACAGGTGTTTAGTTGCAGAAAGAGTTCATGACATTGTGTGTTTAATATGCACCACCAGGAGTAAGCCTCGCTGCCAATCAGGAGGACGAGACCGACATGGAGACGTTTCAGATGGAGATCCACAAAGACACCAAGATGTGCACGTTTCGCACCAGTCAAGGAAACTACTGGGCTCTGGTGGCTCATGGAGGCATCCAGAGCACCGCTACAGAAGTGTGAGTGAAAGTTAATCCAGCCAAAGATTACAGGAGTTAGTCTGGCGCCACAGATTATAATTCCATAGAAAACATTTCTAAATTAAGTAAAAATGCAACTTTACCAAACAAACAATAAAACTGGCATTTAGGTAAAAGATGTCTGAAAAAAGTTCAAATACAAGGGATGGAGTTGAATAAAAGTAATGAAAGTCCATCATTTCCTTCCACCACAGATCAGTGAACACCATGTTTTCAGTGGAGTGGCTCAGCCACAAGGTGGCAATAAAAGCCAGCAATGGGAAATACATCTGCATCAAGAAGAATGGACAGTTACTGGCAGTCAGCGACTCCATAGGTAAGTGTTCTTCATTTGATTTGTGCATTTCACTCATGCCGTTTTGCATGAACAAACGTTTATGCATGAAAATGAGCAGAACAAGGAAAACTTCCATAACCTGCTCAAATGCATGACCCTTAAAGACTGCTCTTAATATAAAAATATCTTATGAATTCAGAGCTTCTTTCTTTGTGCAGGTCTTACATGTATTAACAGTGAAACAAAGTTCCAAGTCAAAAGGAATATTATTCACTCCACATCTGGAAACACCCCATTTTAGAGTTACAGTGAAAAATCTGTGAAAACTCATAGAGAACAGTTTTATTTCTAGCTTTGATTAAATGGAATTTTATCCATATGCATTGTAATCCTTTTGCCGCTGAACCCTGAGTTAACTTCACGGAATCCTGTTTCAGTGTGTAGTTTTTACTATTAGTTTCTGGAAATATCCATCAAAATGTTGCTGAAAATGAATGAAATGATGCCCAGTTGTTGAAAAATATTGGCGGCTTTGTAACCTCCATCTGTAAAAATCAGGTCTAACTACATGGGAGCGGGTGTAAGAGTGTTTTTCAATGTCTAGGCACCTGGCTTCGCGAGGCGATGTCTTGCGAGGCCAGACGCCTTGCTTACGAAGACACTGTCCTTCCTTGGTCAAAGAAAACGGTTAAATGGAACAGACTTGCATCATGTGACCATGGCGGTCACGTAACGTGACGTGACATGGGAGATTGCGTAATATTTTATATGTACAAGTTTCAATATAAATATATAACGAGACTTTTACTTTTAAAATTGTGTATATATTTGTTAAATTAAATATATAAATGAGTTACTACCTGCTAGCCACTGAAGCTGCAACTACTGAGCAACTAACCAACCATAGATAACTTCCTTGGTTCTAAAAAACATTTTAAATAAGTTGATTTACTTTTAAACTTGAAATGTGCCCTGAAGTAGCTGCCGGCTTCTGATCCGCCATCCTTTTGAAAATACTGTGGTGTATTCGGGGAATTTTTTTTTACCAAGGCTAGGCTACAAGATACATCTCATGTATCCTTGCTCAGCTAGCTAAATGGCTAACAAATGGAGAACACACGCCTTGGTAGAACATGAACATTGGAACACACCTTGGCAGTTCCTGATGACGTATCTCCTAGGCAACCGGGGCGGGACCAAGACATCAAGGCGAGGTTCCTTGACATTGAGAAACACCCTATAAGTCTCTGGGTGACGCCATATTAGATTCCATGTTTCCTTCTATGGGAGCCCATGAGGACAAAATGCATATACTGATTTGTAACAAATGTTTACAAATCTTTCGCCATTCATAAATGTTGTTGTTTTACACATTTACCTCTTCACTTGTTGCCAGTGATGAAAGGGAGTCTGATGTACTCATTATTTTTCTGAAGTTTGCACTCCCCAGGACTTTTTGACCCTAATGGACATCCATTAGTAAGGTCTTACTCCAACACAAAAATACTGCTTACTTGCAATGATTTAGGTATCTACTGCCCCCATCGCCAGGAAAAATGCACACTGTCACTTTAATGTTTAACCTGTGCAAACGATTTTTTTGTTGGTAAAAATAGTTACTTTACCATCAATGAGTTGTCCCTATTTTCATAATAACCTGTAATTTCGAACAACCTGTCCTTTATAGTATCAGTAAACATATTCCGTCTTAGTTCTCAACCCAAACTGGTTCTCACTCAACTGAGATTCAGGACTTTTTAGCAAAGTTGTCTAGTTTTGAACAAACCATGTTTAGAAAAATAAGAAAGTAGAAACGTGATTTTATTGTAGATTTGATCTTGTTAGCCCAGATTCTGACCTCCTTTGTGTTATTTCTGCCTATTCCCATGAATCCCCAGGTGAAGACGAGCAGCTGACTTTGAAACTCATCAACCGGCCCTTGCTGATCCTGAGAGGGGAGAATGGGTTCATCTGCCACCACAAGAACTCCAACACGCTGGACGCCAGCAGATCCGTCTATGACATCTTCACCCTGCAGTTCAGCAACGGCGCTTATCACATCAAAGGTCACAACACACACGCGTAAATGTGAGACGTCTTCCTGTTGAGGCTCCAGCTTGAGCGACCCTCGGTTTCTCTTCTGATCTGCAGGTATTGATGGGCGGTTCTGGTACGTGAACAGTGCCGGGCTGGTGTGTGCAGATGGCGAGGCCCCAGAAGATCTCAGCGTGGAGCTGCTGGAGCGCGGCCGCCTCGCTATTCGTGGCAAAAATGGCAAATACCTGCGAGGGGATCAGGGAGGCAATCTGAAAGGAGATGGACTCAGCCTGAGCAGCTCGGCCCTGTGGGAGTACTAAGAGTTTAAATCTTAATGGTCGATCCGCCAACTTTAGCGTTGAACTAACTTCTTGGAATGAAGGATACTGACAAAGGAAGAACTGATTGTGCACATATATATATGTATATATATATATATTCATTCAGCCATGAGAAGTATTTGAGCTGCAAAATTAGTGGTGTTACTCCTTTAAACTCTTTTCTAATAGCTGTTTAATGCACACTTGACTTGCTGTCTGAATTAAAATAATAAAGGCACACAGATCATAATCACTGGCATGACATTAAACTGGTTTTGTTGTTTTATTTCATCTCAGTTCTCGATGTCCTTAAGCCATCACACGCACAAAAGGGAGCGTGAGAGAGTAAAGTGGTAGTACAGACGTGTAATATCACTTGTCCCTAATTAGCTCTGTAAGAACAGTGATTCAGGCTGCCATTTGGGATAAGTACGGTCACCATTAAAGGTGAAAACATCTCTGAGACAAGCCGGGCAAGGCGGTGCTGTCTGCAGATGGCTATTAGGGAACAGTAATGACATGGTTTCAGGTGGACACCTGTAGAGACAGTCGGACATGTCACAACATTACATGCACTGCTTTTTTTCTGTGGTGATCATAAACACACAATTTACACTCAGCTGCCTTTTCATTAGGTACACTTGTTCAATTGCTATTAAACACAAGTATCTAACCATCCAATCACATGACAGGGGCTCAATGCCTTCAGATATCTAGGTGATCTGCTGGAGTTCAAGCTGATCATCAGAATGAAGACAAAAGAGGCTGGAAGTGACTGAGTGTGGCATGGTTGTTGGTACCAGACAAGCTGGTCTGAGAATTCCAGAATAGTCCTGTTGGTCAGGCTGGTTCTGAGTGATGAAACATCTACAGCAACTCAATAACCACTGGTTCCTACCAAGGTCTACAGAACAGCATCTCTGAACCACAACATGTAGAAGCTAGAAGCGGATGGACTCCAGCGGCAGAAGATCACACCTCTGGTCTCTCCTGTCAGCTAAGAACAGGTAACTCAGGCTGCGATTCCCACAGGATCACCAGAACTGGACCAGAAGAGACTGGAAAACATTCCTGGTCTGATGAGTCTGGGTGTCAGCTGCAACATTCAAATGGTGGGGTCAGAATCTGGTGTCACGAACATAAAAACAGGGATCCATGCTTCAGCATGGTGGGGGTGGTGTAATGGTGGAGGAAATGTTCTTGACCCACTTTGGACCCCTTAGTGCCACCTGTGCCTGGTTTAAACCACACAGCCTACATGAGTATTGTTGACCATGTCCATCCCTTTATGACCACATGAACCCATCTTACGATGGTTACTTCCAGCAGGATATGTCACAAAGCTCAGATCATCTCTAATTGGTTTCTAACACATGACCATTCGTTCACTGGACTCCAATGACCTCCACAGTCACCAGTGTTCCATGGCCAAGTGTGTGTTATTCCCTCATTGTCCCAATTACAATGAGCAGATAAAAGGTCCAGAGTTCATTTCAAGTGTGCTATTTGCATTTGGAATCTTTTGCTGTCAACTGTCAAGATGAGATCCAAAGAGCTGTCACTATCAGTGAAGCAAGCCATCATTAGGCTGAAAAAAACAAAAGAAACCTATCAGAGAGATAACAAAAACATTAGGCGTGGCCTAAACAACAGTTTGGAGCATTCTCTAAAAGAAGGAACGCACCGGTGAGCTCAGCAACACCAAAAGACCCGGAAGACCACGGAAAACAACTGTGGTGGACGACAGAAGAATCCTTTCCCTGGTGAAGAAAACACCCTTCACAACAGTTGGCCAGATCAAGAACACTCTCCAGGAGGCAGGTGTATCTGTGTCAGAGTCAACAATCAAGAGAAGACTCCACCAGTGTGAATACAGAGGGTTCACCACAAGATGTAAACCATTGGTGAGTCCCAATAACAGGAAGGCCAGATTAGAGTTTGCCAAACAACATCTAAAAAGCCTTCGGAGTTCTGGAACAACATCCTATGGACAGATGAGACCAAGATCAACTTGTACCAGAGTGATGGGAAGAGAAGAGTATGGAGACGGAAAGGAACTGCTCATGATCCTAAGTATACCACCTCATCAGTGAAGCATGGTGCTGGAAGTGTCATGGCGTGGGCATGCATGGTTGCCAGTGGAACTGGTTCTCTTGTATTTATTGATGATGTGACTGCTGACAAAAGCAGCACGATGAATTCTGAAGTGTTTCAGGCAATATTATCTGCTCATATTCAGCCAAATGCCTCAGAACTCATTGGGTGGCGCTTCACAGTGCAGATAGACAATGACCCAAAACATACGGCAAAAGCAACCAAAGACTTTTTGAAGGGAAAGAAGTGGACTGTTTTGCAATGGCCAAGTCAGTCACCTGACCTGAATCCAACTGAGTGTGCATTTCACTTGCTGAAGACAAAACTGAAGGGAAAATGTCCCAGGAACAAGCAGGAACTGAAGACTGTTGCAGTAGAGGCCTGGCAGAGCATCACCAGGGATGAAACCCAACGTGATGTCTGTGTGTTCCAGACTTCAGGCTGTAATTGACTGCAAAGGATTTGCACCAAGTATTGAAATGTATAAGTTTGATTTATGGTGCTTATTCTGTCCCATTACTTTTGGTCCCTTAACAAGTGGGAGGCACATACCGGTATGCTAACTGTTGTAATTCCTACACCGTTCACCTGATTTGGATGTAAATACCTCAAATAAAAGCTGACCGTCTGCAGTTAAAGCACATCTTGTTCGTTTCATTTGATATCCATTGTGGTGGTGTATAGAGCCAAAAATGTTAGCATTGTGTCGCTGCCCCAATATTTATGGATCTGACTGTAACTAGTTTTGCATTTTTTGGTTCTTTGTTTTTAACACAGGAAAAGGTCGTTTTACCTTTCTTGCTAACTTCATGCGGTCTTCTTCAGAGCTAGCCACTAATGGTGGCGTCACTTCCTTCTCCGTTTGTCCGCGAGCAGCAGAAGACCGCTAGCCTGGCAAGCCAGACTAAATAAATGTATTATTTAGTCTGGCCACGCTCCATTGACGGCTCTCGGTTGCGGGGCGGGTTCTACCGTTGTCTTTCAAATGATCTCCGCATTCCACTGGACAATGAATGTAACATACTCTTGTTTCACTCTGTTGCATCATCCCACCCACCAGGCATATAGAGTGCCCTGATTGGCCCACAAAGCGGAAAGCTCTGTGATTTGTTCACTAAGCAGATAGAGCACTATGACTGGCCCACCATCATGGACCAATCACAGCTCTTTATGTGTTTGAAACCCCTCTAGAGAGCTGTGATTGGCTAGCCAAAGTCCTGGTAGGAGCTGCTGAGGTTCCAATGGAGCATGCCTAGACCAAACTTTGCAAAGCAAGAATTTGGTCTAGTTCACTAGGCTAGAAGACCGCAGGAGTGGTCAAAACTGTCAGCAAAAAAAGTGCATGAATCAGGGATTCTCGGCTGAACCTGTTTAGAGGATGGAGACGACGTTGCTGTCTGCGAGTCACAGGAGATCATGAAACCCAAGAATTTGAAGGTGAAACAATTTCAGAATAACTGACAGCCATGAGATTAAAACTGGCAGGTTTTTAAAACGGACCAGGCCCACACTGGTCTGTTTGAGGAGGGAAACTGGGGAAATATGTGAAATAAATGATCAGGATCATCTGTTGGAGACATCTTTTGGACTGATTAAAACATCTTTTAACATGTTTATGGTGAGAAGATGCACCTTCACCATTTTGCCTTTGAAAACATTAAAAATGAACTTAACGTGTTGTGTTCTGAACCACTGGGTGGCAGTATGGTGCTTGTGTTTATAGAGGTGCAGGAGAAGGTTCCAGAAGAGTAGCTAACAAGTACTGAGAGAATGAAAAACCTGCTATTTCTACTGACTGCAAAACAAAACAATTTTGTTGGGTGTTACATGACTGAGTTTAAATATTTTAAAACAACAGCGATCAGGACAGTGACAAACACTATATATGAAATAAAATCTGTTTATGAAGCAAGCATCTGTTTTTATTAGTTATATCCATATGCTGGATTACAGAGTCAGTTTCATCTGAACACAGTTATGTGGCTAAACTTTAGTGTAGAATAACACAGGGAATAAAAAGTCTCCTAATAACAAACATAAACAAGACAGAATCTACAAAAACAAGGCAATCTTGACACTTGTTGCCTCTTAAAATAATCAAATGACTGCTTTTTACACATTGGTAAAGGAGCTGGATTAAAACTGTAGCTGATATTTACACGTTTTACATAACAGTGGATTTACAGTGTGGGTGATTAGGAACTCGTTATTATGCAGATGCTGAGTCGGGGCTCCGGGCTGGGGGCAGCTGTGTGGGTGTTAGATGATGAGGAGCGGATTTTCTCTGAGTTCTTGGTAAACTCTGAGAAGGAACGGGTTTGTTTGCCCAGAGGACAGACCCACACTCAGGGCCTCGGAGATCTGAGTGTGTAAGACCTGGTGAAAGAGGGAAAGAGGCAGAAATAAGAGCATTCAGCTTCAGCATGGTTACAGTCACACCGCTCTGTAAGCGGAGTGAATTAAAGATGATCACAGTGAGGCCTAGAGAGCCGCGTCTCACCTCGGCCCGCTGCAGCGCTCGTCTCAAACCTGAAGTCTGGACTTGTGTGGAGGGTGCAGCTTCATCAGGAGTCTTCTTCAACAGAGTCTACACACAGAAACTCTTTCTCAGACATATTAAAGCAGAAAACATGATGTAAACTAGAAGATCGACCATTTACCCATTAAGATGACTTGCGTCTAAACGCGTTTAAAGCAGCACTCTAAACAGGAATTAGGTATGATTTTTTTTGAAACCCGTAAAAGTGAAAGTCTTACCATGCACTGTGATATAGTGTAAGCTATATGTAATTCTTTTGTTTGCTATTCCATGCACCTTTTTCATAGTTTAAATCATTTCCTTGAGCCAGCAGGAGCTAAAATGACCCTTTACAGGGTTAATGGAATATCACTCAGACCCCTGTGGCCAGAATATCACACTTGCAACTTCAGAGTGCCGGTTAGCCTTAGTAAAGTGGAGCTGACATACCTGCACTGCAGTCTGCTTCCAGCACAATTCCTGCATGTTTTAGATCATGAACACGGCTGATTTGTTTGATTTAGTGACGAGCCGCTCCTGAAGACACTAATCTAGTCTACCTTTAAGTTTAAGAGTGTCGTTTTTGTACCTGCATCCTGTGCAGCACGGCGTGATGCAGGCCACACACAGCTGTGATGGACGAGCTTTCTATCTGGATCTCCACGATGACCTGGCAGCTTTCGCCTCTCCCAGTGTTCGCTTCCTCCGCACTCACCTGAAGACCAGAGTATAAATGTCATAAAGGCAGGATGAAAAGAGCAGGTTGCTGTTAGTCTTTTCACCTCTTTTGCTGTGATTTTAACCGTGGAGACACTCGGTGCACGAGCGTGGAGGACCAAACTGTTTGAGTCCATCCCTTCTCCTTGGTGTCCCGATTTCACACCTTCATGATCTCCAAACAGCAGCCAGCCAAGCAGAGAGGAGCAGATGTTTGGAGAAGCCGACTCTGGCTGCTGGATGGAGTTCTTTAACATCAACGTGTTCCTCAGAAACTCCGATGACACGCGTACGCATACAGAATATTCCTCTGGGTTTGAAGCTCCACCTCCCCTACTGCACCTGAGCTGATGTGAGCTTAGAAAAGCCTGGAGGGCGTCCATGGTGCTGGACTGAAGTGTGACTGTCTCTTTAGGACGGACCACTTGCAAAGCATGCAGCCAGTCCACTGTTAACGTGTTTAATGGCAAACTGAAGCAACTGTCCTGTAAGTCTGGGAAGCTAGCCAAGTCCACCTCTGCTAGGAAACTAGAGAGTGAAAAGATGAGAGAGCAGTTTAGCGTCAGAGGGAAAGAAGTGTCGCCTGCAGCTGCTACGGGCAGCGAGACTTCTAACGTCTCCCCGGGACAGAGACTATGGAACGGGAATGAGAAGTTAACAGAGGAGGTTTCCTCCCCTGGACCGGACAGAGGATGGACGGAGATGCTCAGAGTCCAGCCTCGCTCCAGGACATACCCACTTGAGTTCTCCAGGACACACGTCAGATTTAAACAGTCTTTCTGGAGAGATCTGCTCCAACTCACTGTGGAGTGGCATCTGATCGACTTCTCTTCAGTTGGTGGCTCTCTAGTCTTCCCACGAGCTGTCAGCAGGAAGCTGATGTTTACAACCTGATTCAGCTGCCTCAGACTTAGATTTTTGGACTTGATGACTGTTTTCAGCACTGAAGCTCTAAAAGAAGAAGAAAGGTGAATCCACATAAACAAATGCTGTTATTCTAGTTGTTCTTTCACAAAGAAATGCTGTTTGCCGGTTTACCTTTCACAAACATCTCCAATGGCCGACAGCAGGTCCCTGACGCTCCGACTAACCTGCGAGGAGAGAGGTTTGGACGGTCCTACTTCCTGTCCCCTCAAAGGCAGCCTGATGCTCTGGAGCTGCCCTCTGGCCGACAGTCCAAGCAGCTGAACTTCACCTGATGAGCAGGAAGGAAGATTAGGAAAAATAGATCCAACATTCAGCAGACTGGTCACATTGCTTGAGCTGCACCTTAAAAAGAGAAAACTAAGTTATGGAGTCATTAAGACTGGAGTTGTTTTAAGGCTTCATGGTGGATGAGTTAGTAGCACTGTTGTCTCCCATCAAGAAGGTTGCAGGTTCAAATCCCAGCTGCAGCCTTTCTGGGTGGAGTAAGCATGTTCTCCTCCCACAGGCCAAAAGCAGGCCTGTCGAGCTAACCCGATGTCTGCTGGAGTGAGACACCAACTCCCTGTTACCCTACTGAGGATCAGGTGGATTAGACAATGAGAGCGTGAGATTCGCTCTGACCAGACTGACAAGCTAACGGCTAGTCACAGTTGGATCAGATATAAACCAAGAATTACATTAAATATGTGAAGGAGAAAAGCTCCAGTTGCAACAGAGGAATTTAATTCTTCAAACGTTTTAAATTTGACCCATCCTGCACTAGCAGTTAGCTCTTCAGTCCAATCAGATTTCTCCAAACTGAGGACGATCCAATACGATAATTACAAAGCAAAAGATTTTCATTGTTAATGACATTTCCACACAAGTCTGTGTGAATCAGTCACTGTCATCCCTATAGCGTATACATTAGGCGTGTTTAACTTATTTTAAACCATAGTGATAACTGAATGAACAGCAGTGGCTCTTACTGGCGTGTGATCCATCAGTCCTCTCACCTGCAGCGCAGCGTGTTGGCTCGTTTAAAGCGATGACCCTGCACACATTTAAACTGGTGGGGTTTTGGCGTGCCCCCTCTTCACTCCTTTCATTGTCCTCTCTTCCAGCTGATCGCTCTGACAGATCCAGCATCAGGAGGTCTGATCCAGTGCTGTAGTAGAGGCAGCTCTGATCCACACAGCCACACTCCACAGGTCCAGACACACACACCTCAGTAAAACCAGCGACGCTGCCTCCTCTTTCTGGATCGGCTTTGTCCGTCCTGATCAGCACCACTCTGCCTTGTTCACCCACAACCACCAAGCACCGTGCATGTCTTGGATCTGTTTCCATGACAACTGATGCCCCAACTAACACGACCGGCTGCTCAAGGCTATGGAGAACCCGAAGTTGTGATCCTGGGAGACGCAAGGGAAGGAAGCACAAGCGTCCATCTGGCAGGCCGCAAAGAATAACCGGTGATTTGGCGAGAGCAGCCTCAACCCCAAACAAAAGTTTAAAGAGAACTGGCTCGAGACAAACGCGAGAAGAACGTGTGTCTGTTCCACCGAGGGAGGACGAAGAGGGTGTACCGTCATCATAATGGATGCAATTCAGCACAGACTTTGTTGTTTGTCCTGCATCACCTTGTATGACAGGTGAGACCAGCGGCAGGCAGAATGAACCAATCACCTCATAAGAGGATGGAAGGGTTTGTTCTGGTCTTTTATACAAGGTCAACAGCCAGGATGCTCCACTCTGGGAAAGGGTCAGGAGCACAGAGCCAACGAGGAGCAGGGACGACACTCCATCTGCACCAGCAACAAGGAACTCAGAGGAGATGTCGATCTCATCTGGGCTGGAGGATGCTGCAACTGAGGAGCTCTGATGCCTGAACAGATGAGATGTGTTCGGATAAACATTTAGTCTGGCTAACAGAAACCTGTGTAGCTATTGTGAATACACAGTACAGTTTACCGGTGTGACAATAACTGTAAGTTGAAACCATAGACCCCCCTCCTGCATGCCACAAACAGCTGAGCATCACAGCTCTCAACCAAATCAGTCACAGAGCCAGGAAACTGGAGGACTGCCTGCAACACAAAACCTGAGGATAAATAACACAAACATGGAGGCATCATCAACACCCGATCGTGACTAAACATGATCTAAAACTACTTGCCTTGAGTTTTTTCTCATCAGTACTGTAAACGTACACCTCGTTGCTTCCAGTGCTGATGAACATATTCGTCCCGAAACCACACTTAACCTTCGGTGAACCTGATTTTCCCAAGAATCCAAATTCTGCCCAAGTCTCCACAGAACTCCGTCCTTCCATCTCTCTGAACTAAAGACACAAACAAGCAGCTACAGGGTGGATATCCGACCCTAACTACAAAACTACCAGGTCAACTAAACTAGATCGAGGCGTAAAGACGTGAAAGCACCGCGCGTTAAGTTTTGACCATTGAAAGTCCTGAACTACATTACCCAAAAAAATTAACCGGAAATAGAAAGTCACTACAGCGGATGAAGATTCAACACACATTTCCATGGTCTTATCTTCGTCCACGAGTTGTAGGAAAACAGGAATCCACTTTTGTTCTGTTTAAATCAGATACATAACATTTATCATAGCAAGTGCAAATTTAATATTTATTTAGGAAAGCCCTTCTAACTACCAACGAAGAAGAAGACGTCAGCGACCCTCGTGGTCTGTATCAACCAATCAAACCAGCCGACGTGAATATCCGCCTTATTTTAAAAATATCCAGTTCGGTAGTTTTAGGAGATCAGCAGAGAATAAAGCGTTTGTCTTTTGGTACTTATCGGCATGGACCCGTTCAACGAAGAAGGAATTAAGATGTATTTCTTCGAGAACAGACTGAAAACCTTCGACGGGTGGCCTTTTGACAAAGACTGCGCGTGCACCCCAGAGAACGTGAGTGAACGTTCGAAACCTCTAGCTAGCATTAGCAGCCGCTACCTCTTTACGCTGACAACACAGTCAGGTAGAAATAAAAAGAGTCAATAAAAAAATAAGTGACTTCCGCTGTTGCCCTTTTAGAGCTCGGACATATTAGAAGGGAAAATAAAGGCCAGTTGCTTTTTCCTTTAGCGACCAGGACAACTGAATACGCACTTCAGGTTTTCACTACTTTAGCACGCCTTGCTTCATTGTTGTCTGTCTTCTGGTTCCATGCTGTAGATGGCCAGGGCTGGTTTTGTCCACACGCCATCAGACAACAGTCCAGACGTTGCAACGTGTTTCTTCTGCCTGAAAGAGCTGGAGGGCTGGGAGCCGGAGGATGACCCAGAGTAAGGTCAACAGTTTTTGGGTCAGAAATGCAAATGAAACTTGAGGTCTGGTTTGACATCTTCAAAGAGAGAAGTTTGTCCAGAAGCAAAGGTGGTCTAAATTAGAATGATTTTTTTAAGCAAGCAGTTAATATTAATAAATTAATTAGCTTTTAAAATAAAAGGAATTGTGCATACATTTTTTTTTTCATTTTGTAGACATATTTCTCCAAACAATCTTTAAGATGTTATCAGTTTAAATTTTTCATTTCAAAGGTCAGGCATAATTGTTTTTGAGGGATTTTATTTCATTAATGCATTTTAAAGCTTTTATACGGTATGTGCTGTTTATCCCATCAAGTAAACAAGAGTGTTTGTTTTTTTCTTACAACAGATTTTGAGGCTATATTTTACAGTTGGGTGCATTTGCCATCACTTAAAGAAACTGTTGTGTAACTTGATTTTATATGATTTGCTCTCATAACACACAGGATTGTTTTTGTTGTTGTTGTTTGTGTGTGTGTGGGGGGGGGGGGGGGGATGAGTACTGCAGAATTGTTTTTAGATTTACTTTTTGCTTTAGCTAGACAAAGAATTGTAAGTTTGTGAATGATTTAATGCTTTTCCTGTGTCCAGGAAGGAGCACAAGTCTCATTCACCATCCTGCCACTTCATTGCTCTGAAGAAAAGAGTAGAGGAGCTGACTACGGAGGAGTTTCTAAAACTACAGAAGGAGAAAGAGAAGTTCCTTGTTGTATGTTATTTATGTGAACCCTGTATTTTAATTAGTAACAGTGGAACAGTCACCGACGATACTATCGTCCGGTGTTAGTTATTGTTTAACATTTGGTGTTGTCTGATAATTAAAACAGCCAATATTAACAATCATAATTCAGTTCCATCTACTTACTGTTTGTTTCAGGGGAAGAAGGTGGCCATGCAGTAGTTCGCTGGTCATGTGACAGTAATAGGAAACATCTCAGAAGTGTTAGTGTGCATGTAAATACTTACCGTAAATCCTCCAATACAGGCCGGTATTCAATTAAAGGCCGGGTCTCCAATTGTGGCCGGTGTCAAAGTCGGTTGAGGTAAATAATGGCCGGTCTCTTATTGTGGCCGGGTGGAATGTAGTAACAAGCAAGTTTAAGCGTCCCAGCGGCAGGGTTATAGTCCCCAAATCAACCAGCAGGAGGCAGTAGAGGTTCAAGCAGACCTTTATTAGGCTTTTTCTTCAACGCTTTGTAACGCTACAGACACGATCCTCTATCACGCTCCTACCACACAGAGTCACGGTGTCAGTTAACCATGCTAATTCAACCCACTCCACAGAACACACATCAACTTCCCTGTGGCTTACATAACACTCACACAACACGCAAATCAGCACATAGGAACTAGCAGAACGATAGGAAACACATATAACACAATACCCAGAATGCACCTGGCTTACAACCCCAGCCAGGTCATTACACTATCAAGTTCAAAGAGAACGTGCTGATTATGCTGCAGAACACTCTGGAGAGCAGCAGTAGGGGGTGTATGAACTAGTCAACTTCACTATAGTGACTTTTTATGCCTGTCGTCGACTAGTCGCTGTCACGTGATAATGACCGGCAAGATGCAGCCCTCGGAAAAGACAGCAGTCTGCTGTCAGCAGGTGACAAGCTCCTGCGCTCGGGGGTGGGGGGTGGGGGCAACGCGCTGTGCCAGACCGTAGGTACTGACACGCGATCGTTCATGTTGGTTCATTTCCTTTAATGTTTTCTGTCTTTTATTTGCGCCTGATGCGTTTGCTGCATGCTGTGGAGCGGGGCGCTGCGCGCATCACCTTGTCCTCCGACGCACTGATCACTGATACGGCCGACAAACAGCGAGCACTCCGCTGTTTTTGCGGTCGGTAGATCTTTTAGAACTGCAGTTCAAAGGTAACTCATGAGGTGAATATATATGAACCCAGGTAGCAGTTTTTCTTAAGAATTGAGAGGAGATGCAGGAAGATAATAAACAGACAGGACAGAAAAATAGTCAAATAAAAACAAGTTAGTTTTTGTACCTGCTGTTGCAACAAACAGCCACCATTGAAGGTAATCAGAAGTGAGGAACAGAAAATGAAATAATTATTTTAATGTTTAGAGCAGCAGGAACTCCGAGAGGCTGCAGGCGCATCAATGAGTTTGCGGCCGCTGCGCAGGGGGAGGGGGGGAGAGGGCTAAAGCAGGGGGAGGGGGGAGAGGGCTAAAGCAGGGGGAGGGGGGAGATGGCTGAAGCAGAAACTACCGTTGTTAAAAGAAATGTGTTTAACTTTGAAAATGTGGGCGCAATTTTAATTGTCAAAAACTCCAAGGAACATTAGTTCATTTTGCTCAAATGGAAATAGAGGCCTGCCTCTAATACTGGCCCTCCTTCCAATAAAGGCCTGGAGCTTGATGAGCTTGAGTCAAATAGAGGCCCGGGCCTGTATTAGAGGATTTACGGTATGTATGTATTGAAATTATATACATTATATATAGTCATATCATTAAATATTGGTAATAATCCACATTAGCAATATGAATATTTAACGATTTTGGCCCAAATTTTTCATATTGCCTTCTTAATTTTGACTCTGCATCATCGTGGTAGGTACTGACCCTTTCTGACTTGTTTATCACAGACTAAAACTGGGAAGGAGGCCATTGCCCTGTTTGAGAGGGCAGCCAAGCAGAAAAGAGAAGAAATCCTCAGGATGGCGATGGGAGAGGAGTAATGGGAGAACAGATTCAGAGGGATGGCTAAGGAGGAGTACGAGTGCCTGAGTGTATTCTGTTTGTTTATTCTATGTGTTCCTTTCTGCTTGTTTGTGTGAATGTTTACTGTTTTGTAGTTTATTAATGTTTATTAAAACAATTATAAAAACAACCAGTTTTTGTGGCTGGATTGTGTAAAGAGGTGTAGGGATAAAATTCCTCACAACACACACACACACACATGGTTGTAGTTGTCACCAGTGATGTCAGAACCAATGATGACCTGGTTGGTTAGGACAGCTTTCCCCACACCAATCAAATAAATGCTAGTTAGAAAGCATGCCTTCTTTCTCAGGGGCAGCCTTAATGAAACGAACATAACATGTCTGACAAAACCAGATACAGATTTCTGAAGGAGTGACCCTTGATCATGGTAGTTTAGCCATGCATCGTTGGGTTTTCATGATGTTTGGACACATGATAAAGGCATTACTGTTGATTATTATTAAAGTTTGCTCTACAAAAACCTGCAGTAAATCTATGGGATTATGAAATGACAGCGGTGCGGGCTCGTGCGTAAACGCAGCTCCCTCCCAGAGTCAGACGCGCTGTGGTTTTGACTTTAATCAGACTCGAGACTCGTTGGGCACATCCTGTCCACGGCGGGGTTTAGTTTCTACCGTGGACATCCTTTTGTGTTGGATCGACCGGATCAGCGTGGTTACGCGAGCTAGACCTCCAGCAGCGCAGGATGAAGGTAACCTTTGGCGCTCTGGTCACCGCAGCGGGTGTCTGCGGTCTTCTGAGCTTCGCCTTTTTGGCGACTTCCCTCGGAACCGATTATTGGTACATCATAGAGATAAACCATGCGAACATGAGCGACTTTAAGAACATGAGTTCCCACTCGGGACTGTGGAGCATCAACGAAGGTGAGCACCAAGTCCCGCGACCACCTTAAATGCATTTCCTAAATGTGAACACGTTTTCCCGTCCTGTTCCATCCATCCAGGCGGAAAGATGCACGCATACTCCATTGACCCCTTCACCGTTAACTACTCCAGACTCTCTGACTCTGAGCGGCGAATGCTGAGTGAGTCTCTCATTTTTTAGCTTTGCTGAAAACGTCTGCTCAGCCTCATGCTGTCAGTACCAGCCATGATGCTCCCTAGCCCTTGTGTTCATCCTGCAGACATGCACGGTGCCGTAGTGGTGATGCTTCCACTCAGCCTGGTCCTGCTCCTGTTCGGGGGAATCTGTGGACTGGTCAGCTCCCTGGCCAGAAGCCCTGTCCTCCTCACCTCCACAGCCTCCTACTTCTTCATCAGTAGTAAGTTAGATCTCAGTGGGGTGTCCAATGTCAAAAATGTACTCATGTCTTTTTCAGATTTAAATAGTTAACATATGAACATTGGCTTCTTGCACTAGAATATTTTCATTATGGGCCCTTTTTATTATTTAAAAACTTTAGATATTGAATTTAAATTAAAACTATCTTTTATTTCTGTTTTTTCTAGGAAACATGTCAATATTTTATGGAACTTTGTTTTACATCCCACCAAATACAAATTCGAGTATGAAGAGGTTAAATCTATTTAAAATCAAGTCTAAATATACAAAAGTAACTTCAACTTCTTTATTTTTTATTTTATTCTACAGTTTATTGATAATTCAGCCTTTATTTTATATCAAATATTTGAATTTTAACAATTTTTAAAATTCCTCAAATGTCACCTTTATGTCCGTTATAATGATCAATTTACTGCACATGCAGCTTAACTGACTGTGGCTTTCAAATGTTTATTATTGCTATGTTTACTCTTATATGCATGACATCTATTGGCACCCACAGCAGTTTCTGTACCTGCCAGTTTTCTTCCATTCCCTAGACACAGTAGAGGGCAAAGGTCACGTTTGAGCCTGGACAGCTACATCTAAACAAAAGCACCAGGCTGACGTGTTGCTTCTATTGCCAATAACCTTTTCAGTTTGGACTAAACCCACACAAGCCCTCCTTCAGTCTGGTCAAAGCAGACGCAGGAACGTCTCAGTAATGCTGCAGGAGAGACTGTAGCTCAATACATCATCGCAGGTACGAACAAAATGCAGCAGCTCTGCTTTGCAGCGTCATTTGCCTCAAGGTAAAGTTTGAGCTGTTTAAATGAAAGGAGACGTAATTTACCAACACAAAGGGTAATGTGGTAGACACCAAACCTCAATTTCCTGCAAATGATCTCATTTCTGGTTGATGATGGATTTGGATTACCGTTAATTACATTTATTGTGTTTATTTGGCTATTTGTGGTAATTAGGTTACAGCCATGAAACGGAGCTAAGCCTCCTGACTCGCAGAAAGAGGAGCTTGTGACAAACGTTTATCAAAAATAAAAAGCACTCTGTGTGTAGTTTCCTTTAATAAGCAGCACATGATGATCTAAAGGCTTGAATTAGACTACCACTGAACTCCTCACCTCTCCGATTTTACATTTATCCTGACCGTTGCTCTTTATTAAGTTAAACTCGTAGAGCAAGTGACAATTGAACATATAAAGTATATTTTGTCACCAAGATAAAACTTTGAAAAAGAACAAAAGGAGAAGAAAAAACACACTTTTGCAACTGCATGTGTCTTTTATTAATAGTTGAGCCTAAAATTATGAAAACCTGTGACAACTGAAAAGCAAAGACACCTAAAGGTCAGCATGCAGGACTTCTCAGGCAGCATGCCAAGCCATCCTATAAAGCAGAGAGTAAAATAGAAAAGATAATAAGATTACAGGTGAACACACAAAGGCAGTAAGCCATTATTGTAACCTTCAACCATTAAAAACAACAAATAAAAAGACAACTTGGGTTTCCTCAGGGACACAGACATGCTCATGTTGATCCGGTATTACACACATACTGAATATTGCATTGGTGTTGTTGTGTACCAGGATAATGCCAGTACTAGTTAAACTGAGGAGTTATACACCATTACTGCAGAGGGGATGAATGACCTACGGTAGCGTTCTGTTTTACGTCTGGGATGTCTCAGTCTGCCTCTGAAGGAGCTGTCCATGGTCTCCACAGTGGAATGCAGTGGGTGGGAGGGGTTTTCCAAGATGAAGGTCATCTTCCCCAGAATCCTCCTTTCACACGTCTCCTTAACTGAATCATAGGCAGCCCAGGGCCGTGTACATACACAGTCTGGCCACGACCCATAGACAGGATTTAGTCATGGGGTGGAAACTTTCAATCAGTCTGCACGCAGTCGGACCAGGCTCACAGATGTTTTTCTTTTTTAGCTTAACTGGTTTCCTGAGTGATGCTTGAGGGACCACTGTTAATTATAATACACAGGGTTTAGGAAGCAAATAGAAGTCATTATTATGAGACAATAAATAGCTATTTTTCAGAGAATTTTATTGACAAGATGACAAAATGGATGCTTAAACGGATTTGGACCGCTTTAAAATATTGTTTGTAAATAATATATATTATTATTATTAATCATATTAATAATAATATTAAAAGATCAGAAAAATGAACAGCAGTACACAAGTCTTTGATTGACCTTAGTTTGGAGAAATAAAGATAAGTTTGGGGCTGAATGGTGGCAAAATTAGTCGCACTGTTGCCCGAAGGTCTCTGGTTCAAATCCTGGCTGTTGTCTTTCTGCGTAGAGTTAGCATGTTCTCCTCATGCACATGTGAGTTTCATCTGGTACTCTGGTTTCCTCCAGACCAAAAACATGCACGTTAGGTTGATCAGAAACTCTAACATTGTCTCTAATTGTGAGTGTGTGACTGGTAGTTTGTCCCTGTGATGGACTGGAGACCTATCCAGAGTGTCTCCTGCCTCTGCTGTTGGACTCTTGAATGACAATCCTAGGGCTGCCCACTCCAGTCGCTTGGTTTCAGTCACATGACCCTGTGATGTGTTTGTACCAGAACTGATCTGTACTTAAACTGTCTATAATTATTGCCACTTTATATTATGATTTTATCATGAGATATTCTTACTTCCTATATTTGCTTATCTTTCTTTTTGCACCAAGTACCACAGCAATTTCCTAATGTTGTGATTTCTCGCACATATGGCAATAAAACCCTTCTGATTCTGATTCTGACTCAACCAATGCCAGAGGAAGCAGCTCATTAAAAACAGCACAGCTTGCTGTTAGTCTGTGGTTCAGTCATGTCCCAGCTGTGCTTCTGTCTCTACCGTTTCTCTGCTCTCTGCAGTCAAGTGCATAAAAATGAGACATCAGACAGTTTCCTCATCATAACCTCACTTTGTGGCACCTAGGGGTCTAATTGTAATAAAGTCTTTATTAGACCCACCCTGGGTAGCTCCATTTGCATCCTCTAAAAGCAGGAACAAGCTGTCAAAATTAAAAGGGTTTCCAGTGGCAACGCTGTGAAAGTCTTGGTCTAGTCTCCGATGGTGAGAGATACGAATAAGCATCGTTGCACATCCGTCTCTCAGTATGAGGTTTGTGGAGGCATGCTTTTACAGATCACAGCTCTTGTGATCAGAAAGGTTTGACTTAGAGTAAAATGTCAGCTTGTGTTTGTGTAAAAAAATCTTTTGTAGATAGTTTCCTGAACAGCCTTAGTTAGGAGACAGAGTTGATGTCTTACAGGACTGATGAGCTAACCGATAGTCTGAATGTAGCTAAGAACAAAGTGTTTTCCAGCTGTCAGCTGATTTGGAGACAGAACTAACTTGCTGTATCTTTTGTTTTGCTTCCTTGCCCAGGTCTGCTGACCCTTTGTGGTGCAAGCCTCTACATCATATACTCGTACCAGGCCCTGGCTGAGACCGAGAGGCTGGTGGGACAGCAGAGTTTGGCCAACATTCACACCTCCTTCGGCTGGTCTCTGCATCTAGCCTGGCTCTCCTTCAGCCTGGAGATAACCATCGGAGCACTTCTCCTCACAGCGGCGCAAATGGCCAAGCTGCAGCACAGAGTTCCCAGCACTGCCTGACAGCATCAGACCACAGCGGGTCACTAGTGGTTTGTGAGACCTCAGTGGATTGAGTCCGGTCTTTTGTTTCTGACATAAAACGTGAGCACACAGCAGCTTGATGAATGTTGGAGAGCGGTGTTATAAAGGTGTTTTGTAAATGTAACATTTTTAATTATCATCAGAGTGCATCTGTTTGTAATAATGTGTTGTTCACCCCTCATCTTTGTTTTGCTTCCAAGCTGAGACTTTTAAGTGATCCTGGTCAGTATTTCTCCCAAAGTTCTGTATACGGATTTTGGGCTTTGGTTGCCCTTTCCTTTGTTTTCTGTCCATTACCCGATCATTCACTCTTACTTTTGAATAATTCAAACATACAAAGTTCATTAATCGAAGCAAGGAATCAGTGATCACATGACATTGTGAAGATTGTAACACATAACCCTGGCTTTCCGCCGGATGTGTAATGTATTGAAATCTGCTTGTCTTTTATTTTGAAAGTTGCTGAATGCTGTACACTGGTCCTGTGTTTGACTTGCTGTTTGACCCGATCTGACCTGCTGAGTTTGATGGCTCGACCGCTGAACTGTGGCTTAAATTTCAAAAGCAAAAGGCCAAGACGATGATTAGTTTAGGCAAGCATTTGCTCTAAAAGGGAAACATGAACACTGTAGAAATAATACAGGCACATCTAGAATTGCTTGAATAACTTGAAAATGTTCTCACTTTACTCAATTTAGAAAGTGAAACTCATGTTTTACACAAATACATTACATGTAGTCAAATATTTGACGTTTTTATTTTTGTAACGTTGTTGACGATTCTGGTTACAGATAATAAAACCCAAACTCTCAGACCATTAGAACATACATAAGATCAATGAGGACTACAAATGGGAAATAGCCGATGGCTAAATCTGGCACATTTACACTAAGTAACTGTACTGTACAGAGTATAGGGTACCGGGTCATGTGACAGAGGGTATTAGGTCCCTATATGACCGGTGCCAGAGCTTGGTCCGCATTGCCGGCAGGAAGTCAAGCTCATGACAGTTGGACTTCGCCAACGCTGCACTTTTTGTCACAGATTCTGTTCATAACGCCCCCTCTGGTGGTGCAGATGCAGTTTGAAACTGATGCACTTTCATCTCTGATGAACAAACCCGATCATTTACATTTTTTATCTGTAAAAGCACATTTTTTTGCAATACCACGAATAAACAAGTCTTTGTTTTAATTAGCTAGATAAATTTAGTCTGAGCTGTATTTGTTGTTTGTTGATGTGTAAAGAAGACAAAGTGGTGTGTTGTCATGTACCAAGCATAATGCATTTAGCATTTTTGTAATATAAAAATAGACGCCATAACATTTTGTCTCAAGCAGCAACTCAGTTTTTGTAAGTTTCATAGTTTGCTGTTTGTGCATTTTTACCGAACAAATCTTACAAAAATTGTATTCCTTTTGCTACCTTTGTGAGTTTATAATCAAGTGTTTTCTTTGTTTTAAATTCCAACATCTCCACAAGGTTAAAAACAAAATCATTAAAGAGACAATGTGTAGTTTTTACCATTAATCTCAATTAATATCAATCAAAATGTTGCTGAAAAAGAATTAAAGAGCAAGTCACCCCCTTCCAGAGTCTTATCCACTCCCACTTCATGTTTGAAAAATGCAAAAAATGCTGTTTCCTGGCGGACTGAAAGGGTGGAGCTGCTAACAAATACACACACACACACACACACACACACAGACAGGCTCACAACAACATTGTGACCTCATAATGTACCAGCTGACATCATAGTGTACTTCTCAGCTTAAAGCGATGGCAGAATAAATTTAAATGCAATGCAGAGATTTACCTGACAACTGTGCAACATTGACAGTTTTAGGCAGAATATTTAAATTTTAACTAAGATGCACTAAAGTGCCAAATTATTGACTGCATGTGTCTACAGCATGGCTAGACACTCATCTATATAGTTAATCAGCAAAAAAGAAGTTGATTGGGGGTGACTTGCTCTTTAAATTATGCCCAGTTGTTGAAAAATATTAGTGGTTTTGTAACATGTAACCATAAAAATCTGGTCTAAAAAACATGCGAGCGGGCCTTAGGGTGTTTTTCAATTTCAAGTGATGCCTTGGTCCTTCCCCAGTTGCCTAGGAGATACGTCATCAGGAACCGACAAGGCGTGATCCAGTTGCTTCCAATGTTCATGTACTACCGAGGCGTCTGTTAGCCATTTAGCTAACTGAGCAAGGATACATGTGAGGTACCTTGTTGCCTTCTCTTGGTCAAAAATTACCCACAATACAGCGCTGTATTTTCAAAAGGATGGCAGATCAGGAGCCAATAGCTACTTCAGGAGAAATGTTCAGTTTAAATGTAAATCAAATAATTGTAGCTATCGGGCTGATATCTAAAATATTTTTAGATCCAAAGCAATTCAATTCAGGTTTTTTTATATAGCACCAAATCACGACGAGTCGTCTCAAGGTACGTGACATAACATTCCGATACAGTTCAGGTCATTAACCCAATCAGTAAAAGGTTCCCTAAATAAGGAACACAGCAAATTGCATCGAGTCAATGACTTGTGTCAGAGTCTTTACAGCAATCCTCATACTAAGCAAGCATTTAGCGAAAGTGGAGAGGAAAACTCCCTTTTAACAGGAAGAAACTGCCAGAAGATCCAGGATCAGTATAAGCAGCCATCTGCCATGACTCACTGGGGATCAGAAGATAGAGCACTCTCTCACTCACTCACTCACTCACTCACTCACTCATTCACTCACTCACTCACTCACTCACTCACTCACTCACTCACTCACTCACACACACACACACACACGTCAAATTGATGCTTATAATCAACAAGAATAAAATAAATATCCCAACACTTTACTGATTTTTTTTATGTTTTATGTTTTTAAACAGAGCTTGGTTCATTTATGAACACCCCAAAATCATTATATTTGGGTGATGTCGGGGTGAACGCCTTAAAATAATGATATTTGGGTGATGTTGGGAAGAAAACCCCAAAATAATAATATTTGGGTAAAGGTTAAAAAAAAACTAGAAGCAATAATGTCCGCAAAATAATAATAATAAAGGTTATTAATGTTGAAAACTTCCAGGAGCATGAAAATAAGGACCCTGCTTGCTGAAGTGGCAGCAGGTCTCTCAATAAAACAGCAATCAATTAATTTGTTAATTAGAACTGACAAGTTAATTAATTAATAAATTCATTCATTTGGGCTGACTGCCCACAGTTCTATTTACCTGCCTAATTTGCATATGCAAAATACGTTGCCTAATTAGCATATTGGGCTGCTATTTTATTAGGGATGAGCGGAAAAAGGATGTTTGAAAAAAAAACAAGCATGAAACGAGTAAAGCTCGTAAATATCTGTAATCGTGCTGAAGAAAATTCCTCATTGGGTAACTGACTGTCTTTACACTCTGTGATTGGCCAGTCACATAGAGCACCCGCCCCTCCCTACACACAAAACACTGCAGCCGTCCGGCCCATCCACGCACACACAGACAGTAACAGATCTCTCTGTGCTTGCTTCACTGTTACTCACGTTTCTTCAGTTCTCCCTAGGTATTTTTCAGCTCGCCTCTTTTTCAGCTGAATATTCAAAGTTACTTTTTTCGTAACTTACATTTGACAAGACAGCTGAAAACGGCTCATGCATGCGTCGGTCACTGCCTCCGCTCCTGTCGAAGCCACCAAGCAGGCAGAGAAACTGGAAAAACAGAATCTCAACTCTCAGATAAATACTTTACAAGATTCTCTTAAGGCTGGAGAGGACACCATCGAGAAATTAAGATGTGAAATAGTTACTTTGAAAGAGAATTCTGATCCGAGGCAACTTGAGATGGAGAAAGAGATGTCAGAACGGATTAGAAAAATGGAACAGGACTATTGCGTCAGACCCGTGCCACAACCCGTGCACGCGCATTGGGTCCACAGCGCGCGTGTGAACGGGACTCGCGAGCGAAAATATACATGGCAGCGCGCGCGTGAACGGGACTCGCGAGCGAAAATATACATGGCGAGAGGTCATTTGTGCACTGAGAGGGAGCAAACTGTGTCTGTGAGCGCACAAGGATGTGCACAAGTGACAAACCTGCGTGCGCGCGTTGTCAACGAGCACACGGCAGAGGAAAACGTGCGCGCGCGGCAGCCTCTGTGCGCGCTCGGCAGCCTCTGTGCGCGCTCGGTTTCTGACTCCTGCTCGCTCGGCTGTAAGGGCTTTTGGCACTCTGGAGGCGTGGCCTGTGGCAGATCTTCTCTGTCCTCTGATTGGTTAGTTCACCCCGCACTTTACCCCTATCTATATAAAAAAGTCTGCTATTCTGTAGTTGCTGGCATAGCTCAGCTGGGAGAGCGGGTGACTCTCGCCCCGGAGGATCCAAGTTTGAGTCCGGGCAAGGACAATGCAGTACATGTCACGTTAATTTTTCTTAATTTCAGGTATTTTACAGTTGTGACCGTTCAACTGTCATTAAACGTCCGAATGTTTGCTGGGCAGTGTTTTAAAAAGTGCACATAAGCTAGATGGTTTTAACCATATAAAATTACATTTTTTGTGATACTGGAAAAATACATACTGAAATAAAACTACTGATTGAAAACTTTATGACTGTGGTTGTACAATATATGACTCACTAATACACTGCAAACTCCCTTAGAGTGGGTCTTCCAGAGAGAGAGAGAGAGAGAGAGAGAGAGAAGTTCTTGCCTCATTAATGACTTGTTTATTTTTTTCAGTATTTAATTGACAAATTATCCTTTCAAATAATTAATTGATGAGTTACATAATTGTCCATTTAGAATTGTTGAATGGACTGAGTCAAGTTTGGTGCACTTTATATATTTCAAAACATGTTTTTTTTATTTTAATGATGCATATAAATAATTTAAATGTTAATTTAATGAAATATTTCTATTTTTTCATTACCTCACCCTTGTTTTGACAAAAACAGGACCTTGCTGGATAATATCATGGAGAAACTATTTGTTCACAGTACATGGCTCAGTGAGGATCTGTGTACCAAAGGAGGAGATACTCAGAAATCTGTCTGCAGATTGTTACAACCCAGACTGGAAGTGGTGGGCTGTAATAAGAAAGGAGACCAAACAGAGGAGTGGGGGTTCAACAACTGATTTATTTAACCAAAGTCAGGATTTACTAAAGCAAGTTAGTGAACTCTAAAATAAACAATTCATTAATGAGGCAAGAACTTCTCTCTCTCTCTCTCTCTCTCTCTCTCTCTCTCTCTCTCTCTCTCTCTCTCTCTCTCTCTCTCTCTCTCTCTCTCTCTCTCTCTCTCTCTCTCTCTCTCTCTCTCTCTCTCTCTCTCTCTCTCTCTCTCTCTCTCTCTCTCTCTCTCTCTCTCTCTCTCTCTCTCTGGAAGCCCCACTCTAAGGGAGTTTGCAGTGTATTAGTGAGTCATATATTGTACAACCACAGTCATAAAGTTTTCAATCAGTAGTTTTATTTCAGTATGTATTTTTCCAGTATCACAAAAAATGTAATTTTATATGGTTAAAACCATCTAGCTTATGTGCACTTTTTAAAACACTGCCCAGCAAACATTCGGACGTTTAATGACAGTTGAACGGTCACAACTGTAAAATACCTGAAATTAAGAAAAATTAACGTGACTTCTACTGCATTGTCCTTGCCCGGACTCGAACCTGGATCCTCCGGGGCGAGAATCACCCGCTCTCCCAGCTGAGCTATGCCAGCAACAACAGAATATCAGACTTTTTTATATAGATAGAGGGTAAAGTGCGGGGTGAACTAACCAATCAGAGGACAGAGAAGATCTGCCACAGGCCACGCCTCCAGAGTGCCAAAAGCCCTTACAGCCGAGCGAGCAGGAGTCAGAAACCGAGCGCGCACATAGGCTGCCGAGCGCGCACAGAGGCTGCCGCGCGCGCACGTTTTCCTCTGCCGTGTGCTCGTTGACAATGCGCGCACGCAGGTTTGTCACTTGTGCACATCCTTGTGCGCTCACAGACACAGTTTGCTCCCTCTCAGTGCACAAATGACCTCTCGCCATGTATATTTCCGCTCGCGAGTCCCGTTCACACGCGCGCTGCCATGTATATTTGCGCTCGCGAGTCCCGTTCACACGCGCGCTGTGGACCCAATGCGCGTGCACGGGTTGTGGCACGCTTTAAACGCCATACTCTCGCCATGTATATTTCCGCTCGCGAGTCCCGTTCACACGCGCGCTGCCATGTATATTTGCGCTCGCGAGTCCCGTTCACACGCGCGCTGCCATGTATATTTGCGCTCGCGAGTCCCGTTCACACGCGCGCTGTGGACCCAATGCGTGTGCATGGGTTGTGGCACGCTTTAAACGCCATACAGGACCAACAAGTGGAAAAGGAAGCTATGCAGAAGATTTACATACAACAGCTAGAGGAAATTGGTGACCTTAAACAAAGGCTTTTTTTCAGTAGAGGTGACGAAAGGAATTCAAAGTCAATTATTGGAAGATAATTTTCAGCTAACAAAAAAAAAACCTCTGTCAATGTAT